CCAATCGCTCACTAGCTTGTGGAAGGTAGCATCACGCTTTCCCTTCTCACCCCTTCCACCATGCCTGTTCTCTCCTTTGACCTCCCTGTTCTCTTCACACCCCTTCCCCCCAACAGGTACCGACACATCTCGGCTGGTGGAAGGTTTGAACCCTCTGGCCTCCAGCTCCTGCCCAACCCACTTCCCAATGATTTTGCCAGGAGCTGGCCCTGCCCAAACCCTCTGCCTCATTACCAGGAGAAGGTGCTAAAGCTGGCCTTGCTGCCCAGTGCACCCTTGAGCCAGGACCTTGTGAGGAATTACCAAATCCTGATAGAGGACCGGATTGCCTTGCCCCTCCACTATCTCTCCAAGGCACAACCCAGCAGAGCCTTAGTGAGGAAGAGAAAGAGAAGACCTGGCCACACCTAGAAAACCTTCCAGATAGGTGAGGACCATGGCGGGCACACAGACTTTCAGGCTCCAGTGTTCTCAACTAAGTGCCTTCAGCATGAAGCCTTTGGGGGGACTGAAGGACTCTAGCTTTTGCAGAATACACCCTCTCCACCATCCCCCCAACTTCGAGCCACCTCTGTAGCCCAGGCTCCTCAAGACTCTACTGAAATCTAATCGTTATCTGTCTTCCTTGGAGAGCTCTTTCATAGCAGGTGGGATGCCTGCAGGGTGGGTAGAGCAGAGAGAGAAGAGTGGGATTCAGTTCCTAGGGACAGAAAGAGGAGTAGGAAAGAAGAAGGTGTGTATATTGGTGGTGGGGGGGAGGGAGGTGGCGTTGCTCAGGGGTAGGGGTGCTGTAAAAAATGTGGGTAAGAAGAATTTACCTCTACTCACATAGCACATTTGAATAAGACTGGGATTGGTCAAGGTACAGGAAGCTTCTTAAGCAAAAATAACCTCAATTCCAACCCTCCCTGGACCATTTGATGTCTGGGCAAATACCAGAAGCAACTCTGCTGGGTTGCAGGTCCCGCGAAGGGCTGTGGGGAGCAGAGGCCAGGCCAAGGCTGTTGCTGGAGAATGGAAGAGTCAGATCTGAGAAAGGAGTAGAGTGAAGTAGAGTCAAGGTAAAGGTCACAGTGGTTCCTCCAGAGCACTACCATAGCGCCTTGGGCCTGAGCAGCAGTTGACCCCAGATGCCTCAGCTTTTACGGTGAGGTGCCAGGGACAAGTGGCCTAAAGTGGAGGCAGGCAAATCACACTGGTCAGAAAGGTGCTTACCTTTGCTGGAGTAGAGATTGGGGTCAGGAGAGCCTAAAAGAGGCCCAGTGGAGGTGGCAGAGAGGAGGTGGCTGGAGAGGGAGTCTCTTGTTCCAGTCGCACCCCAAGTTGGTGATCTTCCTTAGCAAGGCTTCTCCTGGCCTTCTACCCACTCCCTCTTTGTCTCCACTTTTCTCAAGCCTTGCAGGCACCTGGGAATCAAAACAGTACCAGGGGTCTAGCCCTGGTTAACCTCTAAGCAGCTTTGTGACCTTTGGGAAGGTTATTGTTCCCTCAGGCTTTTAGTTTTCTCATTTGCACAGTGGGAACCACTAGAGTATAAATAAAATCATATCAGTTAAGTACGTGTAACATTTCTGATACATTGTAGACTCTCCATAAACGAAGCTATGAACCATTATTCTTAGAATAAAATAATAAATGGATGGAGTATTATTCATTCATAGAAAAGAATGAAGTATTGATCCATGCTACAATGTAGACGAACCTTGAAAACATCATGCTGAGTGAGAAACGCCAGAAAAAGCCTCATGCGTGATTACGTTTATATGAAATATCTAGAATAGGCAAATCTATAAAGACAGAAGGTAAACTGATAGTTGCCAGGTGATGGGGGAGGGGAGAATGGAAACTGTTTAATGGGTTCAGGGTTTACTTCTGGGGTGATGAAAATATTTTGGAACTAGATAGAAGTGAAGGTTGTATAACAACATGAATGAACAAAATGCCACTGAATCATATACTTTAAATGGTAAATTTGATGTGAATTTCACCTCAATGAAAAACAATTATAATAAACAGAACAAATAGAAAAAGTTTCCAAATGTCCTTATTGTTACAAATCTATAATTCTATTCAATGGCCCTCTTTGCCACCTCTCTCCATGGTGTGCGTGTGGGGTTAGTGGGGAGGACCAGAGCCAGGGGCGCAGGAGGATTTCCTGAGTTCTCCAGGGAATCGCTGGGGCTCAGGATGTATCCATTCTCCCCACTCTGGATTAGGAATGCTGGTGGAAAGGAGGCAGTCTTTTTACCTACATGTTAGGAGGTCCCGACATGTCAGAGCTGGGCAGGCCATTAGAAGACAAGTCGCACCCACTCAGTGTTTAGATGGTAAACTGAGGCCCAGGGAGAAGTGACTTGCTCCAGGCCACAAAGTCAGGCTGCCCCTGGCCTCCTTGTGGTAGAACAGGAGGCACAGGGCTGGGAGCTAGGAC